AGCAGAAGTGCTATAAAAGGTATTTCAAGATTTGTGGAATCTAATCAGTCTATGGAAATATTTTTATTTATGATCTGAATTGCATAATGTTATTAAATCAACATTTTGTGCTACAAATATATTAGTTTTTCTCTTACAGTCCAAATTTATGTAAACCTCCTGTTTTAAATTTCAGTCCTGTTCTATTTCATTGCTGAAAGAGAATGTAAATTATTTTCATTTAAAAATTATTCAGGCTTTTGAAGAAATGTGCAATCTGTTTACCATGTTAGCTTGAGTAATAATCACCTTTAAAGGTAGTATGACATTCATAGAGAATCTTTTGTTCCCTAATTATAGATAATCGTGGTCATTTTCAAAAGAAAGTGTTTTTTTTTGTTGATTTTTTTTTTAATAAAGAAAAATGGAAGTGGAATTTGCTTTCTCTTCGTTATAACATGTACTGTGAAAAAACAGACTGGTTACATTTTTTTACATTGGAATTTTAATTAAGCAAAGCCATCAAGGAAACAGGGTAGATGCTTTTTAAAATTGTAAATTGAAATCCATAAAAACCTAAGCATATCACAAAAGGAAATTCTTCCTATACATGAACTATGTAATACACGCTACTTCATTTCCATGGCACATTTAACTTCCTTGTAGTGTACTTTCTATGTAGTAAAAGAACACAGGAAATGAAGGTATGAATCTTTTACAATACTCACTTTTTCTGTCCCTGGGGCTCCCTTGTTTTTTCACTGTATATTCTGTGTTTTATTTCTTACTATAAAGGCAGGACAGCTTCTGGCATAGTACACCTTTAGGGAAGATGCTGTTAGCTACTGCTCCAAAATGTTTTTTGATTACTGAATTGTGTTGCAGCATAAACCTAAAGTCAATGATGTGTTTCATTTCACATATCTTGAGAGGCTCATCACCACTTGGAGAGACAAAAAAGGGGATTTATTTTTTTTTTTATGTTTTCATTGTATTTCGAAGTGACAAATCACTAGGTTACATGCAGCTAAAATTATGCCTAAACCATCAGTTGAAACTGAGAAAAGTTGATATTGGTCTTTTGTTGATTTTTATATAGCTTGTGCTTTTTTAGGTTAGGGTTTTAAGCAAAGAAGAGTTTAGCACAGTTTTGGTTTGAATGTACTGCTGCTGTCTGTTCTTCACACACAGCCGTGCACTGGCACAGTCGCTGTCTTATCTGTTGTTTTTAATATAGTTTCTTTTGCATCTTCCCATCACCTATGCAGATCATCACTGAAGCAGTGTTGAAGTCTAGTTTGTTCATGGTCAGCTTTCTTGCTCAGCTGCTGTCCTTCTATTGAATATGCATCTGTTCAGATACTAGAAAGACCATCCTTGCTGTTTCAGTAGCTGAATTAGTTTTGAATTCAGGGAACTGGGGATTGTTGTTGCAGCAAACAATAAACTAAGTCTTGGTTCAGGCTTTAAACTTGGGCTGCAGTAAATTCTTTTTGCAAAGCATTTTAGTATCTGAAATGGATTTATATTTTAAATGAAGCCCTAATTATTTTTCCTTGGTTGACCTAGTTGTAGGTTTTATTACAAGTATAGTGCACCCGGAAATATTTCCTGACAAAGGATTTTGAAAATGAAATGCTGTGTAACAGTATAGCCTAAACTCAGCTCCAAATCTGTGCACTTGTTTCGCTGCATTTCCCTGACCTCACCAGAGTGTTGTAAAAATAACTGCACTGAAGATTGTAAAATGCCTATGTATTATGACAATAGGGGGCATGTAAGTACCTAAGATTAATGGAGACACAGATAGCATTAGTGCTTTAGAGGGTTCCTTCAGATCACTAACCAGATTAAGTGCCAGTATTCTCCTGTGCCGCAATGTTAATTGCCAATTTTTGGCAGCTGCACAGGTGCTAATTACTTTTTAATAGAACCAATGGAAGAAAATTTTCCACTAAGCTTTTATGGATAATTATTGCAATTTTTTTCTTTCAGGGGCTTGAAAGTTTGCTCTTACAGCATCCATCAGATCTGTCTTCCAGATAAATGGTAGTATTACAGCACATGTAAGATTGTATTCTGTAGCTTTATACAGTCCTTGTCTGCTTTTTAAACGATGCCATTTAGAACCTACTCCCTCACTGAACAGAGTTTATACAAATAACATATTAACACATTGCTTTGTGTTGTTCAAGTGCATTGTGTTTCTACGCAATGTATTTCAAAGCAGCCACATCTGTAGGGACTGTCCACTGTACTTACAGCTTTTGAAATGAAGCTTTATGTCTGCACTGAATAATATACAGGAGTGCTGGGATTTACTGCACTAAATTTGCCAGTGTCTGTTTCTGAAGGTTTCTAGGATTTACTCTTTTTATGGCTCATTCTCTCGTTAGGCATTCATGTTGTGCTCAAAATAAAAAGAAGAAAGTGCTGTGCACAAGGGAAGACAAGATCCATTTAAGATGATAAACTGTAAATCATGTTAAAAGATGAGTGTGTGATGTCATCTTACGTCACCTTTCTGCCAAGGGTTTATTAGAGTTCACTGGGTTTTAATGTAACTCTCATCTTTTGCAATACTTCATAAACCAACATATCATGTCTTCTCTGTGGTAATGAGGTAGGCTGAACTCTAATGTTTTTGGCTGTAAACTCCACTGTGGTTTCAATATTCCCGTTGTTTGTGTTGTGAAAAGTTTGGTAGTTTATCAGAAGGTCCTTAAGTCCATAGCTCATCAAAAAAGCTTTTTTATGGGGCAATGGGCGGGTAGGGACAATATGTCCCAAACCACCCCCTCCACAGGAATTGATGCAAAGTTCACTCAGGTATGTGTAGATCCTACATGCATTTTGTCCTGCACTGGGCTCTGAAATACCCCTCTGAAAAAAATGGTCCTGTTCCAAAGGTGACAGGGAATGGACGCGAAGCTCACTCAGGTGTATGGATCCTACATGCATTTTGTCCTGCATTTGGCTCTAAAATACCGCTCTGAAAAAACTAGTCCTGTTTGAAAGGTGAGAAGGGTTTGGGAAAAAACTTCTTTGTAGTTCTTTAAGCATTTACTGGAGTAATTATTTAACCACTAATAAAAATACAGAGGGGAGCAAATGTATATATTTGAAGTATTAATCACTTAGAGACCTGGTTTAGTGTTGGATGTGGCAGTGCTGATTTAATGATGAGATGCAACAAACTTAAAGGTCTTTTGCAATCTAAACAATTCTGTGATTTTATTCTTAAAGTTTTGTTACGCGTAATGACTTCAACCTGTACATCTAGTTATAAATTACATCATGCCATAAAATCGTGATTACACAGTAAGAAACATGGTTTTTATTTTAAAAAATATTTCTAAAATTAGCATTGCTAAACCTGTTTGAAGCAATGTTTGCTTAGAGACCCATTAAAAAGATCTTTTCAGTGTTTGTGTATTTGTAAGGATAATGTCATTGTAATGTAGTATATGGTCATTTTCTTCTCTAGAGCCATTCAGATGATTTGCATTAATTGCTCCCCACTGTTTCTTTCTCTGTTTTTTTTTATGCTTGTCATTAAAAATAAAAAAATAAAAAAATCATTCTTCTCTTTTCCAAAATCACCTTTCCAAGCCATCTTTTCCCATTGCCCTTGCGCCTTGGTGATGGAAGTCAGTATCACAAACCTTGCTTACAATTCTTCATGTGGCATTCATTCACACATTTCACGGGCTTTACAACTGCGGCTCCTTATGGTTTTAATCATGATGAAAAATCTTGTTCTCCTGAAACATAAGTAAACAAACCTGTAAGTTACAAGGTTTGTTGCACTTTCTGGACTCTTTTCCGGAATGATGTTATTTTAATAAGCTTGCATTGAAGTATTTTACTCATTTTGTAGGTTAGTATTCTATACAGTCATAGACAAATGACTAGGTAAGAAGAGGCAGAAGTAACACTGGAAGAAGAGGCTTTCAGGGAAAGGAGAATGCTCTTAACAGTTGGAATAGATGAAGGATGGCAGGAACATCATCTGTGGGAAGTTACTCTCAGCATTGGGTGTAACCAGGTTGGCTGGTTTCCTCATCTCCTAGTTGTAGAAACTACTACAGATGGTGCAAACACATGGTTTGAATAACCTGTGCTAGACTGGTTTGAATATGATTAAATCTAAAAAGTGCCATTTTCCAAGACTGGGCAAACATGAAACATGGAACAGGAAACAGCCAACACCTGTCAAAATAGGTAGATGCAAGAAATCCGACTAACGTTGAGAACAACCAATAGCACTCCTTATCAGTCACTCTGCATCTTATAACTTAATGTGGAACTCCCATTAACATCTGGGTGTTGGGCTAATTGGCTAGCAGAGAGCAATAATGTGATTGACCTCAGCAGCTGTCTTTTGTTATAACTCTTAATTCATTAACAGAATGTTGCAGAATGCTGATACATGCAGAAGTTCATTCATCAGAACAAAATCCTGACTGTTTGATCATTGTCTGCATAAGAAACTCCCTTCAGTTCCAGGCTCTCAGTTCATGGATCTCAATAAATGTCAGAGCCAACCTCCTGTCTGTTATCAGATCTGCTAATGGCACTGTTCTGCCACTTCTGCAGTGTGTGTAGGGAACAGGAGTACACCAGGAATTTTGCTATATACACTTTCTTATTTAAGACTTTAAATGTTGATTTGCCATTAGAACACAAAGGATTTTGTGATGGGTGTTTGGAAAGTAGGATTCTTTTCTGCTGGAAAAGAAACACTGGAAGTGCAGAACAGTACCATAGCCCTTACTGTTTCAGAAAATGAGTTTGTCACTCATTTGAAGCAGGGTTCAAAGGCAGTTCCTCCTTAATTCAAATGAAGATATGATACAGCTTATGGTTCTAAGCAGGAATGACTTCTGATAATGGCAAAATGCTGCAGTTTGTCACATGCGGAATTCTAAGCTTATAGGTAAAATCAAAGTACGTGTTTCAGTAATTGGCAGTTACCTAAATCAAAGTCTGAAAAAGCTGACTATACTCTGCCAGCATGAGAAGGGCTGAACAGGTGGCACTAAGTCTAAGAAAAGACTAATGGTGGTGCTATAATTGCCTGGGTTTCTGCTAATAAAGAAACTCCATTTTCCTGTTTATTAGAATAAATTTCTTAGGTATCTGCTTTGTGTTTGGTTTTTTGTTTTTTTTTTTTTTTTTTTTGTTTGTTTGTTTGTTTTTGTTTATTTCTTTTTGTTTGCCTATTTGTTTGTTTCTTAATTATAATTTCAAATACTTGCAGGAGAAAATAATTAAAAAGGTAAAATTGTTTTACAGTCAGATGTCATATTTGGTGGTTCAAACTCTGGGTTTCTCTGGTTTTGATGATAAGCAGAAGTTTTGTGAAGAGATATTTACTTGTGTACTTTGCTTTAAGAGACACTTAATTAGATTTAGTTTTCCTAATTTTATTTCATTAGGAGCTGAATAAGTTTGTCTCTAGTGACCGTTTAGCTGCCTGGATGATTTAGATTGTATTCTTACTCTTCTTTTGACTCTTGCCTGAGACACAAGAACTGTAGTGGCTTTAGAGGTTCCTGATTTTTTTTCTAATGCCAGTTCAGTTTTAAAGAAGCACTAAAACTACTTGAGTCCATGCTGTATGTAATATTTTCCCTTTGAAAACAGTAATTTTTTCTATAAACTTTAAAATGCTAAGAATGCCATTAATTTTTTTTTTTTTTTTCCCCTGTGGGATTTCTTTCAGATGTAATTGTTATGACAGCAGCAAACCTACTTGGTAGCAAAAGAAATGAGCTTTGGTGGTTTGACCTTGTGTACCTGCCAGACCCCCTGTCAGAGCTGTTCTATCACTCTGCCTCCTCAACAGCATAATTATGATGAAAGAGCTTGTGGGCCAAATGAGGACAGGCAGATCACTCAGAAGTTAAGGTAATGGGCGAAACAGTCTTGACTTGGGGAAATTAATTTATTTCTAATTAAAAATAGAGTAGCATGATGATAAACAACTGCAAAAGGTAGACCACCTTCCCCTCACCTCTCCTTCTTCCCAAGCTCAATTTAACTCCTGACTGTTCCACCTGCTCCCCAAACGTGATGCAAGGGGATGGGGAGCTAGGGAGTTGCAGACGATTCCTAATGCTTCATCTCTGCTATTCCTTACTCTTCATGTTATTCCCCTGCACTGGTATAGGGTCTCTCCCATGGGCTGCAATTCTTCAACAGCATGGGTCCCCATGAATGAAAGGTCTGGTCAGGAAACCTGCTCCTGCATGGGCTCCTCTCCATAGGCTGCAGCTCTTTCCAGGACCCTGCTCTGGTGTGTGGCCCTCCATGGGCTGCAGAGGGATATCTTCTCCACCATAGACCTCCATGGTCTGCATCACAGGCTTCAGGGGAACCTCTGCTCCAGAGCCTGGAGCACCTTCTCCCATCCTTCGTTGACCTTGGTGTCTGCAGGGCTGCTGCTCTCACAGATTTCTCACTCTTGGCTCCCACAGCTGCTGCACAGGGGTTTTACCCTTTCTTCTCACAGAGGCCCTACCACCTTGGCTGTGGGGCTCAGCTGTGCCCTGTGGTGGATTGCATGTTCATCTGTTTGCATGATTACAATGTATTTTGGGCTTAATTCAAAGCAGTATGGAGGCTGTAAGATTTTTGCTTTGCTTTTGTTTTCCAATGGAAAGCCTGCTAGCTGAGTAGCTGAATAGTGCAAGTTTGATCAGCCTACGGGGCTGATACCTGGCAGGCTCTTTTTTCATGTGATTCAAGACTTTTTCCTTCCCTCTTCAATTGTATTAGTGTTATAACAAACTGGATCATTCTTCTGTAGTTTTTTTTTCTTGAAAATCGATATAATGATGAACAGTTTGTTGATTAAAGTGCATTAGACATCATAAGTGTTGTCGCTGCTTTCAAGTCCAGCAGGGCATTTGGGTTGAGGTTGCCATAGGTGAGAGGCACATTTGAATGAATGCTTTGTTGCAGCTTCAGAGGGACATTTCAGATTTCCTTCCAGAAGCAATTTGTGGTTCTGACACTCAGTAAGAGCACTGAATTGTCAGGACATCATGATGGCATTTACCCTGGGAGCTAAGAGACTTTGTTAGGGTATGAAGCTTAATCTGACTTCCCTGAAATGTAATCCAGTATCCAGAGATGGAAGATTGTGTTTATTAGTACAAAACTGCTATTTTAACACATCTGTTAGTAACAAGCTGTTAAAGTGAATCTCCTGAACAATATCCTATTTGAAGTCTTTAAAAGAGCTGACAAGTTACAGTAAAGGAAAGGGAATCAGTATTAAATTATTCTTGTTGCACTTGTTTCCAAGAATGTGATTTTTAAATTATTTTTGTGACCCAAAGTGAATTTGGTTGATAATTGACTGAGTCTAAAGACCTCTAGCATCAGCATTGTAAAGGGACATGTATCTGGGTTAGCAGAGGTGGGGAGAACCTATGGCAAAGTCAGAAATGTATAATGCTGAAATTTTAGACATAGATAAGAAACAGCAATTACATAACTTTTATGTGTGACTCCTGAAGTCCCTTCACGTGAGATATAGACACAAAATATTTTTATCTTGAACAAATGCATGTTTTTCTATTCATTGAATGTGTTTATCTTGTGAGCTGGTAGATGCTACAGGATGTCCTTGGAGGAAGCACAGATCTGAAGTGTAGAAGGATTGCTAGGCGGGATGAGGAGAATAAAGTGAAATGGACTTGGCTTTTTTAAGTTCTGTATGTGAAATATTTTACTTCAGGGGGAAAAAGCAAAACTGAAAACAGCAGCTCAGAGAGTCTGTACACAGCTTTCTAATTTTGCTTCAGGGACAACCACAGCCTGCTGCCAGGCTTCCTAGGTTTTGTGCAAGTATTTACATTGCTGCTTAGAATAAAATACCTCAGGCTGGAAAAAGGAATAGACTCAGTCAGTAACTGGTGAGGGGAAAGAAATCCAGAGGTTACTTCCACAAGTACTTTGTAATTCAGAAGGATTCATATTATTCTTATTTATTGGGACCATATTGTACCAGGTACTGTAGTGGTTTATAGTGTAAGGATAAGACAAAAATCAATGGGTGAGAATTAACTGAAAGCACAGGAAAACAGATTAATCAATATGATTAGTTCAGCTATGGCTTTACACATATTCTATAGGAGGAGATATGGGGAAGAGATTAGTTTTATACAGAAATACCCACCCTACCTGTGTGGGGATACTATTGGAGAAGTCTTATTTTAAAATTTAAAACTGGGGGTTAATCACAGATACTGTGCTATTACTGTTTCTGATGCAATGCTGTAGGGAATGGGAAAGGTAAAACAAAATACATGATGCTTGGAAAGGTGCTCCAGTAGAAAGGAACCTCTTTCAAAAAGGCTTGTTAGGTTAGTCATTCTTGTAACAACATTCTGGATAGTTCTGGATGAGGCAAGTTTTTTTTTGTCTTAAGGCCTGGAAAAAGGATGTTGCAATAATCTGTACCATTACTGGTGGCTATCCTCTACCTCAGCAGTCAGTGATGTTTTTCATAAGACTTCTACCATTAGAGCGTAACAGTGTTTTCCAGCCTGCAGTGATTATGAAAACTGTTCAGGTGTATGAGTAAGAGGATTGGGCACAATACATGGATGTCACAGATCATGGAATAACTGCCTTCTTCTACAGCTGCCCTTTCTCCATCAGTAATTGCTCTGTCTTGAGGAATGGAAGCCTGTATTTGTCAGTGGCAACAGAACTTGTCTCCGAGAACAAGTGATTACAACACAGCAAGAACTGGATGCTGGAAGTGGTATTGATGACTCACCTGCGCCCTGTTAATTACAACGTGCTAGTGTGAAACCAGAAATCTTAGTTGACACATGACATCACTGCCTCTTTCTCTTTCCCCACTATTTACCCATCCCAAGACTACAAACCTCAGAAAGTTGTTGTAAATACTTTCTCCTACCTCAAAGCCACCCCGGCTCTGTTTTTTGCAAAGCAATGCCATCCCGAAACATGGCAGCTCACTTTCAGTATTGCTTTGATTTACAAGCCCCCACTGCAGTACCATGTTTTTGTGTTTGTCTGGTTTTCTTAAAATCTCCAAACCCAGTGGCAAATGCTGGAATTCCTGGCAACCCCTTTCATGGTGGTGAATGCCCAGTATTTCAATATTTCAAGCTGTTATAATTGCAGTAGTGCATTTGCTGCAGAGGCCTAAAGGGTATAAGAACCTGTGAGTAAATATATTCAAATGCATCGCTGAGAAAGGATTTTTTTTTTTTTAAGTTATTATTGTGAATTTGGGGGGCCTGACTTCTAGATTGGTTTGGAGTGGTTTTCAGCTCTTTATTGAAAGGTAAAGATATCCAATATGTTAGGGCAACTAGCACATTTTTGCATTGATCTTATCAGTTCCTCTTCTACAGTCCAGGTTTTATGGTCACTGATTTTGGAAGCACCCCTGCCTTGCCAATAAACAATTCCAACAGGCTGTGAAGAGGTGGTTTTTTTTTGTTGTTTTTTTTTTTTTTTTTTTTTTTTTTTTTTTTTTTAGGAAACGTAACTGGACAGCTTCTGTCAGGATCTTTTCAAAGTTTCAAAGCAGTGCCATTAGGATGAAGTTACCAGACTGGACCCGATCAGGTGAGGCAAGAGGAGAACATGCAGCTGTGATCGTATCATGCATCATGGGAATGAGTATTGCATCACTTAAAGTTTCTGGAAGTGCAAGACCTCTTAATTCTCCTTCTTTCTTCATTCCCAGGTGTGTGTTAGGTTATATGCAGTATCCATTCCAGGAAGACTGTATTTTACTGATCCTAATTTTATAAAACTCATTGCTGTCTTGCCTGTATGAAGGCTGTTATTGTTTGATTATAGTTCTCCATGTTTAAAAGTATCCTATACGTTAATTGCATGCTTCATTATTTTGTTATTTCGAGGAGGCCTTCACTAGCAAAGCTGTGAAAGCTGTGTTTTGTGGCTGCACTGCTGCATTACTTTTAGTCAGCTAGTGGGAGAGATATTTTAAAGTATACGATGTACAGAACTGTATGTCTTCTGGGTTCACTTCTTTGTGTACACAGATCTGTTGCTGAAATGTATTGCTTTGCCTTTTGCTATTGGTTTTGAGGCATCTGCTCTTTATCCGAAGACTTTAAAAAAAAAAAAGCTGACTGAAATTTCCTTCATGAACAAGCATCAGAAATTATGCTCTGCTCCAGTGAATAACCAGAATTAATGTAGGGATTAAATTGGCCATTAATGCTGTAACTTTTTTTTCTTCACTAGACCAGGCAGGCCTGATTTTAGTCCTATGAAATGTCTTTAACATTCCTTACTGCTCTGAGTATGGCTTTGAGGGGAAAAGTGTTTTTCAGCATTTCAGTGTATTTGCTGCATGACTGACGCAGCCTGATATGACTTATCACAACATGACTTGTCGTCAGAAAACAGCTGAGAAAAGAAAAGCAACTTCCTGGAAGCTAATGCCAAGAAAATCAGTGTTAAGGGCAGAGCAAGAAAAATGTATGCTTTTAAGAATGGTTTCTCTCTCTCCTCTTATTCCCTTTCCACTTAAAGAAAAAAAAAAAAAAAGGTAGTTAATAGAAATGTGGCAAATACTAAATTTTTAAATAAAGTCCTGTATTTGGAGGTTGTTTTCTAGTGATTAGGTGAAGGGGGAAAAAAAAAATCTATTCTAATGGCTGTTCTTCTCCAACTAATAAACTGCAGAACAGCAGGAGCCTTAAAGACATGGCTTAGCAAGAGATCCTACGTTAGAATTCTTTTTCAGTTCAATTTACTTCCTGTGCTGCAATTTAAATGTGCTATTTGCTAGTTAGGGGAATTAAAAGAAATTGGCTTAATATTATTTTATAATCCTTTCTCAAATAATTGAAAGTGAGTTAATATGCTAACAGGCATGTGACTCA